TCTAAGAAGGCTTTAGAAATTCCTAGGTCTTTCCTTGGAAGACTCTAGAATACCTTAGATATTTTCTTGGAAAGCTTTGGAAAATCCTAGAATATGTAGAGAATTCTAGAAAGGGACCAAAGTGTAATTATTAGAGAGACGCGTAAAGTAAATTTTATTTGTACTTTAGCCCCTAGGTTGTAGTATAAATAGATGGGGCATTCATTTGTAAGGCATCCAACAACTTGTAAGCAATCTTCCAAACTTAATACAAAGCCTTCTTCCAAAAGCTTTCTTGTTCTTTCTAAGTCTTTCTTTGCATTCTCTTAGCGATCTTAGTCTTAAAGGCTTACTTGAGCTTACGAGATCTTGAAAGAATAGTGAGTAAGTTGTCAAGTGCCGCACGGAGCTTTAGCAAAAATTCTAAGTCCGTGACAATAAAGACTTCATACAAATTTTCTTTGTGGAAAATCATATATAAAATATATTATATTTTGCATAATAACTTTTAGTGACAATAAATATGTATATAAATAAGAGCAACTTTCACATATAGCAAACACAAAAACCATATTTGTATGTTATATGTATAGTTTGCATAATTGCGCTCCATAACAAACTTTATGTTTGCTATGACTATTTCGCTATACATATATACAAAAGAAGCAATTGTATAATCTGTTTCGGTATATATATACAAAAGAATCAATTGTATAATTTGTGTTTGTATAAAGCGAGAAAGAGAGAAAGACAAAAAAAAAAAAAAACTGGGCAGGGGAAGATCGTCTTTGTATAATCATAAGTGTATAGGACGAAAATATATACATTTATATTTGTATTTGTATATACAATTTTCTCTCGCTTTATACAAACACAAACACAATGTATACATTTGTGTTTGTATAAAGTGAGAGAGGCGAGTTAGAGTTGGGAGACGGGAGAGAGGGAAACGAAAATATATGTATATATACAATTTTCTCTCGCTTTATATAAACACAAACACATTTTATACATTTGTGTTTGTATAAAAGCGAGAGAGGCGAGTGAGACTGCTCAGCGTGAACGAGAGTGGCGAGCGAGATTCACCAGGGAGAGAGGCGAAATAACAACATATTGCTATGGGGTACAATTAAATCAAACTATGGTTATAACATTTAATTTGAATTAATAGTTTTTTATTATATACAATTTTCCCTATTAATAAAGAGTGTTAAAGCCTTTACCAATATTAGATAATTTATTAGATCCAATATTGCTGTACGGTCATTTAAAACAAAAAAGCTAATTGACAATTGCCAGTAGCTAACAATTATCAATTGTCTATAATAAAATAATTCGTACCAAACATAGCGTACAAAAATAGCTTTCTTAAGCCTAAAGTTAGGTGTTTGTATAATATTCCTGCAGCTCAAGTTTCCCTACTATAGTTTTTTCCCCTTCATTCGAGATATGGTATCTGCATTAAAATTTGACTACATTAAAATTTACACATTTAGAGCTCAATTTTTAGAACATCACTTCCAATATAATTTTTCTATTCCCATAAATTTGAGTTTGAAATTTCTGATTAAGGATAAAAAAAAATTAAACCATTCCAACCATGACTCATGTTGATTCCTATGATTGTTGGTATTTTATTAAAATTGTTATAGTGTTGAAGCATATGATTAGCTATAAGTTATTTTAATAGAATGATTTGGTTGGTGCGATATTTTAAGTTTAAAATTAGAAACCTTGCCCATGTTTAGTCAACAAATGCATTAATTTATGTCTACGTCAAATAACAACCTTGCTATTTTAAGAAACATTAAAATAAATAAAATACTTACCAAGATATAAATAATATGTCCCGTAAAAAATTACAAATTTTAATAAATAATAAGTAGAAAAAATTAACAAGTTATTTCATGTGTATAGTCACTTGAAAAGATTTTTTGAGTCCTTTGAACGTGGAATTTCTTTTTCAGTTTTTTTTTAAAAAAAAATATGTATATTATAGATTACTTAAAAGAAAAATTCTATTGGATATATATATAGAGCTCAAATTTAATATTAAAAAAGTAAAATTGATCGAAATCTAAGATTTTGTTTTGGGTCGGTCAATTCGAATTTGCATAGGATGTCTCATTTTTATTCACGCATGCATATTCCACTTCATTCCCTATATTAATAAGAGTTATATTTGTTCTCTTTCCAACCACAACGAAATGTTTTCATTGTATGAGACTTTTCAAAGTGTTTTATTATCAAACATCATCATAATTTTTTAGTTTACCTCTTAGAAAACAAATCACAATCCCTTTTTTTCTCAATATATAGTCTTTAATCATCACTAATATTTTTTTTTTATACTTTGAATACTTGATCGATCCATACTTACTTTCATTATGTCAATTACTATTGTTGGAGGTATATCACTATATTAAGATGAATTTATTTTCAAAATACGAATCTAAAATCTCTAATTTAAAATGAAGAACTATATATCACCTTATTATAACTTCTGGTGATAAATTCAAGATTATTTTCATTTGACCATTACATTATCAGGTTGGTATATAATTAGTATGATGTGATAATTGCAACATTTTGTCCCATATTAACTTTAAAAATGAATGTGTTTCATTAATTTGAGTCTAAATTGTGACAACAAAAGGTCAACCACCCTTTTTGGACACAAGATTTGAAAGTGACTATTAAGTTTAACAAATCAAGAAGTTCAAATATCAATTATATATCTTCCATTCATTTGGTACCATCCAAATTTATAATCTAGATACCTTTAATGAATTTATTTTTAAAAATTAAGATATATGAATTTATATATGTAGTAATTATATATTGATCAATATTTACTCTAAATCTATATAATAGTCTAATAAAACTTTTTTTCTTCACATGTGTGTATAGACGTATTACAATATATAACAGATGTCAAGAAGAACAAAAGTCCTTGGACACGTAATCGATCTTGATGTCCTTTCTTCGTAGATTATTAGCCTCGAATACTTATAACAAAAAGGACATTGTGTAATTTGCATGAACTCTATTTTCCAACTTCTTCCTTATTCCCAAAATCCTTTCTTTATTCGAATTCATTCTAAATCCACTCAAAATAGAATTTTCCAAAAATGGATTTGTTTATTTCTCTCTCTCTCTCTCTATAAATATTTATAGAGAGAGAGAGTGTCTTTTTTTTCCCTCTCTTGAAAGGGTAAGACACATGTACTTGGTTCTATCAGTTCGTTATTATAAATAATTTCTACAATGGATAAGACTAATGACGTATGCAATACTTGAATTTTTAATGTAAATGCTAAATAGTTGGTTCTCCTCCTTATTTTCTTTATTTATAACTTGATGAATACAAATATAGTACATAATCAAAATATATTAACAGAAAAACCTAATTTATAAGGGTGATATAAATTCTTTTTCTGGCTAGAATGGAATTAATAAAGTGAACGTAATATAAAGTATGAAACTTAATTAAAATACAATTGTAACTAAAGATTGTTTTATAGTAATTATATTTTACAATAATATTTCACTATTCCAGCCATGTTTTCTTTGTAAATGATTTTCATGTTTTGTTTTATTATTTATTCTCTACAATAATATTTTGTTGTAGCGGCTAAAATAATTTCAAACAAATAATATTGTTATAAAGAGGTTCGATTATATCATCGTTAAAATATAAGAAATTATTCACTAATCAAAATTTTATGAGTTCATGCCTTGAATGTAGTCCCTAATGCTTGCATTAATATAGATTGTATAACACACATCTCTTAGAAAGACTCTTTCTGAATTTTATGTAAATACAAAATACTTGATGTACCATGTTATGCACTTTACTAACTAATCAAAATTCCAATAGTTAGACATAGTATTTACCAAAAGTGTCTATTTATATATTTTTTAATTAAAAACTTTGAATAGTAGTAATAATAATAATACGTAGGGGGACCTTGGCCCAAGTTATTCACATGATAATTCTAGGACATACAGATCCCCAATAGTTTTAGTATTTGCCACCGACACAAATAAAATAAAAAGAGAAATAAAAAAATAGAATTTAATTATTTAAATTATAATTATCATAAAAAGCCAAAAAATTGATGGAGTAAACTGTCAAATCAAGATCTGCTGTCTAACGTCATTTAAAATAAAATAAAATAATAATACTATTAACAACGTAAATAGAAAATGCTTAACAATATGGAATAGGCCTATGGAATATGGATTATTGGAGGATGGTCCGTTCCCTTGTTTCATAATTTAAAGTAACTTATGTGAGTAAAAAAAGTTAAATTGGGAACATAGATAGATGCTATAATATAGTTGAATTTTAATAGCACAGGAACTTTCACTTTATTATTGAGGATCGATTCTTACTTTGTAATCCTTTATCGAGCCTCAATATCAATCTTAAACACTAAATAAATAAAAATATAAATACAAATAACACAAGTTGATAATAATTCATACAATAAAGCAAATGAATAAAACTAAACTAGAGAAAATGAATATCATCTCTTATATTTTTGTATTTATGTATATTCCTTTGCTTTTTTCTATATTTTATCTTAATTGTATCGTTGAACGAACAAAAATACCAACACTAAATACAATAGCACGACAACCAAATTTTACTACAAATTATAAGTAATAATAAAAATTTCGCTGTAATTTATAATATGGAACCAAACTATATTTATTTTTGAAATTTGCCTTTTTACTTCTATTTTTGCGTCATGAATGTTACATACATTACATTCATTATTTAATTGAAGAACATAATAATGTAATAGTAGTAGTAGTGATAAATTTAATTTAATTTTTATTTGATGTTCTACAATTATATTAAAATTTGATTATAAATTCATACATTAACACGATTTAACAATATTTTTTGCGGAGATAAAAACTTGGAGCGCGTAATACAGCGACACAACAAAGGAGTAGAAAGACAGCTCACGTTGTACTGAAAATTAATAGACAGGGGACAGAAACGTCATTATCATAATCTTGAGGTCCTTTTTCGTCTTTTCACACTTCCATCACCTTCATTTCCATCACCATTTTCACTCTCACTCTAAAACACTCTGCTTCGGCAACTTCACACTCTCACACACACTTTCTCTCTCTAAAAAATGGGTTCTCGAACCGGGTCACACCAGCTAAGCAATGGGTTGATAGTCTCGGGTCGACCCGAACAGCTCAAGGAACGTCAGCCCACAATGGGTTCCCGTGCAGTGCCGTACACCGGCGGTGATATCAAGAAGTCCGGTGAGCTTGGGAAAATGTACGGTGTTGGGGACTACCCGGGCCCACCACCAATTTTGAAACCTTCGTCAAGGGGATCATCTGCTTCACAGCATAACAGTGGATCCGTGAGATCCGGTCCGAATTCCGGTCCGGTTGGGCATAAACTCACTAACTCCGGTTCTATGCCGAAGAAATCATCTGGGTCTTTCTCCGGTCAGCTTATGACTCCGATTCAACCTACTGGTCTGATTACTTCCGGTCCGTTGAGTTCAAACACTGGTCGGCGGTCGGGTCAGCTTGAACCGGCTGCTTCGTTTAAGAAAGTTGTGTATGGTTCGTCGGTGACGAGCTTAAATGATGAGATAAAGCTGGGTTTTAAAGTTTCAAAAGTGGCAATGTGGGTGTTTCTGGTGGTCGTGTTGATGGGTTTAGTAGTGGGTGCTTTTCTGATGGTGGCGGTGAAAAAGGCGGTAATTCTTGTTGCAGTAGCTGGAGTTTTAGCTCCATTGGTGGTGATTTTACTGTGGAATTTTGCGTATAAAGAACGAGGATTGTTGGGTTATCTGAAGAGATATCCTGATGCTGAGCTTAGAGGTGCCATTGATGGACAATTTGTCAAGGTCACTGGGGTAATTTCACATCCATATTCTAGCTTTGCTTATATTAGTTCTCAATTTGCTTTCTTGTTTGTCTGGTTTTAACTGGACTCGGAGTATAAGAAAGTAAATGATTTTTGAATCTCGTGGTCATTTATTGAAATGTCCTTTTAATCTTGGGTGGTCTTAAACATGTCAGGTGTAAAGTTGAAATTAAAGAACAAGGAGTATTGAGTATGATTTGGTGAGGTTGATGTGTCTAATTCTTGTCTCTAGTTATGGTTTTGTCATTAGGTGGTAGTTGATAACTTAATTGTAGTTGATTTAGCAGGGACATAACTAATGCTAGTTTTGAGATTTACCATTTTGTCCTTGGAGGTATAGATTAGTAAAGATTGCTTATTTATGTTCTGGAATGAGATTCTATATGTGAGGATCTTTATTGTTCTTTCATTTTGAGTTGGAAAGAAATATATGTTCATATTGGTTTAGTTAGAAGTAACCAAGATTCTGCTTAAGTGTGGGTTAAAGCATATAACTTTATCCGTGGTTGCAGAAGTATAGATACTCTAAACAGTTTCTAGGTTCTTGATGGGGCAGATTTGTTGTAGGAATGTCAGAGGGGATAGTGTCATGACACAAACCTATGGGATCCGTGACAGGCACCTGGTCACTACCCTTGCCAAGCCAACCTGGCTTATTGACATTCCAAGGTAATAAACCGTAGTTAAAATACCGATAGAATCCATAAGATAGAGTAAACTAGCTAAATAAATCCCACGATACACTGATATAATCCAAAGTACTAGTTTGGACACAACTTGTTGACATAAATGAAACAAAAATAGAAAGTAAGCAGAGCCGCCACAGTAGAAGAGTGGATGGTTCATCTCTGTGTGGAAACTCGATGTAATCTACTAGCCACACTGCTCACTAATGCTAGGCATCCAATCTGCATTTTATGCAATTTTTGGTCGTAAGATATTTTAAATAGTTTTCAAATTTAAGGAAAACTGAAATACATTGAGTTAGTGACAAAAGAGTAGTTAAATATATGTAAGGTTAGATTTTTTTTTTTGATGTGCAATAAAATTCGTCTGGGACCAACTGCAGTCTTCGAAACTCGGGGATAATGAGCTTCCCCCTCTTACCTTCTCTTCTTAAATATCAGGTTTAGTAGGCATGACGCAAGGCTCGAACATGTGACTGAAGTCACAAGTTTCTCAACCTTTCCCACTTGAACTAAGCTCTGGGAGCTATGATTGAAGGCTCTTTTAAATGTGAAATACTTTAGTAGGACAACTCTTTAATTAGTAGAGGTATGTAGAAACTGACCCGGACACCATAGTTTATAAAAAGATCCATTTTAGTAGGATAGTTTAGATCAAGGTGAAAAGTAAATCCTCATGGTTGGTATCCTTTTTTTTTTTGAAAATGGCAAAAGTATTATAAGTAAAGGTACAAAAGTACAGGACTTTATAAAGACCAAAAGATACTAAGCTACATCAAATATGCTCACTACTTCCTTCCTCCAAACATTTCTAGAAAATCCATGTACTGTTCCATACCCATAATTTGCCTACTTTTACACCAGAAAACAGACCATGAGATTGTTCTTGATTCTAGAAATACGACATTTTTGGCCTTTAGAACAAGCTCTATCCTTTCCAATTATAGAGAAATGCATAAAGGAACAGGTGAAACATATCTGTTTCAGATCCTTCTTAAATTCCTGTCCCTGCCAGCATTCTAGCAAACCCCTACTGCATGCTATTAAGCATTTTACAGGAATACCGCTTGAAAAGGAAATTCTTTTACTGGTGTATGTTTGAAAGGTTCATGAACCTTAAGCACTCCTAAATAGAAAGTAGAACGATGAATCTGGGTTTAAATTGTATTTATGTATCCGCTGAGGGTCTTTTGTTGGGTGATCAGAGCAAAATACGTGATGTGTCAGTTAGGAGTACGTCACGAGTTTGAATCCTGTTGGTGAACTAAAATCTTGGTATTTAAATGGAGAAGGGTAGAGGGACAAGTCCATTATTTATCAAGTATCAAACCTTGTGTCGACTCTCCCTTGGAAATCTCTCAGTTATAAATCAGTTTGCAGGAGTCCATCTTTAAGGTTCCATGGTAATCATCCTTCTCAGACTGCAAGAGTACTTAGAATATGGTGGTTATTGGTTAACCTGTGCGATTGAATGTCTACTTCTATCACCCAAAATGAATTTTATATTCCTCCTTAAAAATTACTCTCAAGTTCAGAAATTGGCATATGAGGTGGGTTCTGCATATTTGGCTGGACACTATACAGAATTACTTGCACATTTTCTGATTAAAAAAATATTCTCACATTTGAGAGCCTTTGAAGGAGAATTCTACAGAGATGAGCTCACATTTTATTTTTTCACAGTTATTAATGATTGTTTTGAATTTTCATAGCATACTATTAGGGTGTAGTCAGATATCCAATTCTACATTGAATTCCGAGAACAATATGAAGGGTATAATATATTGTTTTGTGTAGGTTGTCACTTGTGGAAGTATCCCACTTGAAACTTCTTTTCAGCGGACAGCAAGATGTGTATATGCTTCAACAGAACTGGACGAGTACAAAGGTTGGGGTGGAAAATCAGCAAATCCTAGCCACCGTTGCTTCTCATGGGGACGCAGGCATTCAGAGGTTAGTTTTGCATATATTAACGATTGCATTTATAGGTTTATTTGGCAGACTGAATTGGTGTTAACCATGTTGGTGTTTTATTACAAGTATCATATTATTCTTTTATAACACAGTTGCAAAGATATACTTGCTGGGTCCTTGTATCAATAAATCCCCCATGAGAAGTTTTGTAATGCTTCCAAGTGACTGCCATAGTATTATAGTTTTATTATGTAGGAACTTGAATAAAGTTACATCAACTTGATGAACTGAAAGATTGAGAGCCAGGGCATGTGGGGAGCCCATAGACTGTTGCTGTTCAAGGTTGAACAATCGGGAGTTGTTTGGTGGAGTGTATAAGAATAGTGTGGAGTAGGGTATATTAGTAATGCTGATATTATTTCTTATAACTTTTTTTGGTTTGATGTATTAAAAATAACATGCATTGCATAATTTTTGAAATATAAGTTGTTTGTTTACAAAAATACCCCCACAAAATACAGTGGAAAGGATGTGTAAAAGGTTTTGAGGGGCAATTGTATCTTTTAACCATGCTAATGCAGGCACTAAAAATTCTAATATCATGGTTGTCATGCATTAGTTATACATAGTATAATACAAAATAGAGGTTGAAAAAGTGTACCAAACAAGATATTAGTAATACACAAAGCTAATGCATGTATTATTTTTTCTAATATATCCTACCAAATGACTCCTTAGTGCTACATGTTAACCCTTGCAAGTTCATAGAATGTCAAAAGGCCTGCCACGGGTTATCACTGTTCAAGGTTGAACAAATTTACATGACATGCCAACACCCTCAAGTTTGTATAATGTCAACAGGCCTCCTGATCAACATCATATGCTAAGTGCTAACAACTGGACTTATTCAATATCAGTAACTTCATCATATGCTAAATTCCTGACTAAGGCTTTAGCTGGTTAGCTTTTGCATGGTTGTTGACTTTGTGTTGCTGCAGTATTAGTGATAGTAAATTCTTCTGATGCTGTCTGAACACCCAAGACATAGATGCTTCTTGCCAACTGGGTTTCTGTATTGGCCCCAACTCCAAATATTTCATCCAAAACTCCTATCAGAAATTCATGGGTTGTTTTTTCCTTTTGATAACAGAAACATGTGGCTGATTTCTACATCTCGGACTTCCAGTCTGGATTAAGAGCTATAGTGAAGGCAGGTTACGGAGCAAAAGTTGTCCCATTTGTCAAGCCAACTACAGTCATTGATGTAACAAAGAATAACAAAGAGTTGTCTCCCAACTTCCTGCGCTGGCTTGCTGATCGGAGCCTCTCAAGTGATGACCGCATAATGCGCCTCAAAGAAGGGTAAGTTGTGGATTGTGGGTTTATCTCAGCAATTTCACGAATTTGATAGATCATATTTACGTGCCTTCATTATAAATTTGTGACAACTTTCTGAGACTTGGCTGATTCTTTATGGTTGCTCCTAATGACAGTTACATCAAAGAAGGAAGCACCGTAAGTGTAATGGGGCTTGTAAGGCGCCATGAGAACGTCCTAATGATTGTTCCACCAGTAGACCCTGTTTCAACAGGTTGTCAATGGACCCGTTGTCTTCTCCCTACTTACATCGAAGGTCTCATCTTGACATGTGACGACAGTCAAAATGCTGATGTGATCCCTGTATAAGTTTGCTCATATAGTTTCAATTTTGATTTCTGATAAGTCATGGCGAAAGATTTGAGCAGATGACAACGCGAGGACAGCATAGCCTCGGTTATGCCCCTGATAATCCCCCATAGGGAACCTGAGCAGAGAAACACTGAAGATTGTAGATGTCTAAAGTTTATCTTCCCAAGTTTTAGCTGATATCCGGAAGGATGAGGAGGATAAAAGCGTGCTATATCTTAAGCAGCTACGCGTGTTGTATTGTGCTAATCTCTATCTGGTGTGATTTCAGCTACTTACTTTATTATGTATATAAAACGATCAAGGTGTTTATATATGTTCATATCTTTGTCCAGCTTTCATTTCATATGCACATTTGCCTGTGGGATTCTCTGTAGAATAAGTAGTTTCCATATCAGTGTAATGATTCAGCTTCTCTTATAATTGTATAAGTAATACTATTACTATTTCATTAATTCCTAATATCTACTATCACCAGCTATTAATGAAAAGTTTATTTCTCACATTTTCTTATACTTGACCCGAGGGTCTATCAGAAACAACCTCCTTATTATAAGGTTGGGGTAAGACTGTAAACTTATCATTTGGATACAGTGGTGAACTGATAAGGATACATGTGAACAAGCCAATGCTTAGATATTTATGGTCCTAATAGATGCATCTTCGAGAGGGTAATATGTGCTTATTATCATCTTGCAACCTGACGTTTGCAAAACTATTGGCAAAAATAATATAACCAAGAGCACACTTTCCAAACTTCTAAGGCTATTCACCTTGATAATGCTAGAGAATTTTCATCTCAAACTTCTGTTGATTATTATCTATCAGTTGAGATAAAAGTTGAACACCTTGTAGCTAATTTGCTCTCAAGGTGAATAGAGCTAAAAGAAAGAAGTTGTACAAAAGTAAGGAATAAGGTAATGAAACTCCAGTGTAACGACAGGCAGAGAGCAGTGTCTTATTGGTCTGATTCATGCTTCCCCTTGGTATCGCATAACATCATAAGCATGTCCCTCCTAGGCTGATGCAAGTGAGCTAAAACCAGAAGGAGAGGCACTGCAATAGAGAAGTTAAAGTCTGGAAGGCATTCCTCCAGCAACAACCAGAGTTTCTCCAGTTACATAAGAAGCATCATCAGAAGCCAAATAAGCAACAGCAGCGGCCATATCTTGTGTTGTTCCAAGCCTATTGAGTAATGTCTTACCCTCAATATCTCTCCTCTAAACACAATCAGCAACTAGTTAGTAAGTAAATAGAGAATATTCGCAAGAGATTTAATTTAATAAGAACTTACCACTTGTTCATTACTTGTGATGAAATCAGTAAAATGTGTAGGTACAAAACCCGGTGCTACACAGTTTACACGAGTATCTGGACTCATTTCAGCTGCAAGAGCCTGGCTTTCCAAATAAGACAATAAGAAGAAAGCAGTAATAGGTATGATATACTCTTATTGTGCCAAGTTAAACATTAGTACCTTGGTAAGTCCGAGTAGTGCAGTTTTTGTTACCCCATACATACCCATTGAAGCTGGTGGGGAGTAACCAGAAATTGAGGAAATCAGAACAACTGATGAACCCTTCTTAAGGTATGGAGCTGCATCCTATAAACAGATGAGCGCAATAGCAGAACATGATCAGGAATTCGAGAATTTGGAGTATATATGTGAATACTAGAACAATTAATAGTCAATGTATGTATGCACAACTTACTTGTAGTAATAGTATAGCGGCCTTGACATTGATATCCCACAGCTTGTCAATGAGTGATGCTTTAGTTTCTAATATTGCATCTACTGAAGGATTGACACAACCATGTCTAGTTTCCCATATTTCTTAAAAATTACAAACGAAGTAGTAAGCATTGATTGACTTGTCATTGAAAAACCATTCCCAAGCATCATTTCAATTCATACCTGAATGGTCTTGTCAATCAAATTCTTCCTCTGTTGTGCATTTGAGACATGACATACTTCAATTCCTCCATCTCTCAGTTTCTTTACTGCTTCATCTACATTTTCCTGTAGAAGTCAAAACCTCAATATGAAGAGATTAAACAATACACATATACAGAAAAAAACACAAACCTGTTTGCGAGAGGAGATAACAACAGAAGCACCTTCAAATCCAAGTCTCTCAGCTATGCTAAATCCAATACCTTGTGTAGAAGCTGTAACAATCACCACTTTACCTTCAAATCGTTTCTCCATTTTTATATGATTTTTGTGATTACATAGAGAAAGAAATATGAGACTTTACTTCTTCTTCTTCTTGGATAGACGATGACCATGTTGTGAATTTAATACTAATAATCAAATCGCCGATGTCAACATTAATTTGCCGGAAAAATATGTCATGACTCATGACAGGCTGTTTAAAGGTCGGTCCGCCAAAAAAGTCATTGGTACAAAATTATCCTTTTTCTATCTTTCGGGCCTAAAATATCCTTGCCACCTACCTTTTTGCCCTCATCACTAATTCATAACCAGTGGTGAAATGTGGAGAGGGCCATGGTATGTACCCGAACTCAGAGTCTTAAATCTCAGGAACAATAGTCTTACGGAGGGAAAATGACACAAAAATGTGTCTGGGAATAGAGTCAGTACTCAGTGGCAACATTCCAAAGAAGGTCGGTAATCTAAGCCAACTTGCAAACGATGACGACGTTGTGAATTTAATATTAATAATCAAATCAATAAAATCACCAAAAGAGTCAACATTAATTAGGCCGAAAAATGTGTCATGAGTGGGGTGTTCGTGGTTCGGTTTGGATGGATTATTGATTAAAATCAAAATCAAACCAATCTAGTTGATTTTTAAAATTTTTAAAACCAAACCAAACCAAACTAAACGAAAAAAAATAACTGTCGGTTTGGTTCAATTTTTCTGGTTTATTCGGTTTGAAAGTAATATTTTTTTCGGGACGTACTTATCTCGATAGACACAAACACCTAGTACATGAACAATCCACAAAAAACTATTGTCGGTTTAATTAAGCAATACTAACTTATCAGTTAGCAGGATAGGTGTCACGACCCGGGAGCACCCCCTAGTCGTAACCGGCGTACTCGACCTCGAAGAGGTCTAATACAAGCCTCTTAGCATTCATTCATCGCATAGACACTAAAAACCATAAGGAATTAAAAACTTTCTTTACAAAGAAGACATTTAATTAAAAATAGCAAGCGGAAAACTTTCTAGACTTTATACATGATGTCTCATAACCATCTAATACTTTAGAGTACAAAATTCGGGACTAATCCCGTACACAACTTAAACAATACTAAAAAGACATAAAAGAACATATTGGGTATTGTCCTCGAATCTATGAGGACTCACCAAGTCTTCATCTCCAACGCTTAGAAACCTATCAAGTAACCATGACATGTCACCATCTCCAAATCCCTACACTTTAGTCAAAAAGGGAAAGGAAGGGGTTAGCACAATTAAGTACTAAGTATGGAAGCCATGCAAAAACATGCTAAAAGGGACGTTTATTGGAGAAACATGCTTTTATGCCATTTGGTAAAACTTCATGAAAAAAAATACAAGTAAGCCTTTTCATCATTTCTTGACCTCTATCTCAAGTTACCCAAAGCCACACTTAAGTGAAACATGAAGTGACCGCCCATACAATCTCTTCATATACACCTAAGTATTCCTAAGGGTTACCATAGATAAGGAAATTTACCATTACAATATAACATACTAAGTCAATGTTCACATATAAAACCATAGCCAACCGTATACATACTCAACATATATTCATATACAACCCATGCTTAACTTTAAAGGAACACATGCCATTTCATTACCATAGGACCTCTACCTAATATAACCTTAAGACACACTTGAGTAAGACAAGAAGTGACCACCCATACAACCTCTTCAAGCACACTTAAGTGTTCCCCAAGATTACCTTAGATAAGGACATTTCCTTTACAACATAACATCAATAGACCAACATTCTTTAAGAAACCATTTTTGGAGACATTCAAGCACATAAGGGGACTTTCACATAATAGTCGTTAGACTTAGGGAACTCACTTTAGTATCTTCAAAGCCTACTCGTGCCATGTGTAGATAGCATCCCATACTACTACCTACACTTTGTAGAACCTATCAAGAAACCATAATGAAATCTCACATGATGGGAAGTAAGCATTTAACCGACATAGACCATGAGAGCTTGTCATGGAATCCGGTGTCATGAGTCCCCACACCGAAAAGAGGTGGTCTACTTGCCTAAGGAAGACCGGTATATATAGCTTAATGGATCCACTAGCTTCCTATGCGGGCACATAGTTTATGGGATAAGGTAGACGATCATTGAAACTCATGCCTAACTATTGGGGGAGTTTCCATCTAACCAAATCCGCTCGGTGCTTAGCCTACATTCCCATAGAATAGTTCATTACTTTGACATCATCACACATGAAAGGGTGCCATAAGCCTACCGATTCAAGGTACATTATTTAACACATGAAAGGGTGCCATAAGCCTACCGATTCAAGGTACATTATTTAACACATGAAAGGGTGCCATAAGCCTACCGATTCAAGGTACATTATTTAACACATGAAAGGGTGCCATAAGCCTACCGATTCAAGGTACATTATTTAACACATGAAAGGGTGCCATAAGCCTACCGATTCAAGGTACATTATTTAACACATGAAAGGGTGCCATAAACTTTCATGTATTAAGAAGAGGCACCTAAGTCTACCAATTCAAGACACACGTTTTCATTTAAGGATACTTCATAATCCAACATCATTTCACATATACATCATGAGAAATCATACTTTAACTCACAATGCTATCCACTTTACATAGGATCATCACAAGATCACATAAAACTCATTCACACCATTCCTTCACATATAGCTTCA